TTGTGTGTGATTATGAATGAAATAGGTCTAGACCTTGGTCCAAGCTTTATATCTTTAAAATAATGAATTGCGGTCGCTCTGGTTGACGTTTTCACATCAACTCATTATATTAAATTTAACTTCTTCAGTAGAGTTTTTATCCCATATATTTCATTAGAAGATGATTTGAATAAAATTTAGCTAATGCGAAGTAAAATTTAATAATAAAACTAAGTAAATTTGATTGTAATCCATTTACGATTTCGTCGAATAATGAATGTTAAATTGGTTGGGTGTACTTGAGAACATATAATATTTTCAAGCAATTTTATAAATATACAAGTATAACTCATTGAACGACAAGTTCAGCATAACGTTTGTTAGAATAACGAAAATCAATATATGTAGTATTTGGGAGTTGGAGTAATTTGTAGACTAAATTCACATATTTTCGGCATTAAACTATAGTATATCCAATATATAATAATATAATATATATGTAAGGCATAGGGTCCAGTTGGCTGAAAATCTTATATAAATATATGAGAGATATAATATTTACAGAATAAAATGCCCCCTGAGTTTCATTAAGGTACCTCATATATTTATTATCACGAACAAATATGTATGGAGTAAAATCCACCGGATGTTTGAAAATTCTGTGATTATTTATATAGGGATTAAAGCAATTTAGACACAAAATGCACCATTATAAGAAAAATACATCCACTTAAATTTATTAAGATAGCTCACATACAAGTATTGGCCGATATATGCGGTATGAAGTAAACAGGAAGTTCAAAATCTCATAGATTAATGGTTATTTCCGGTAAAACGTTAGCACCAGGCACTAGGTCCCCAAAATGACTTATTTACTTTTAATAGGAGTATGAAATGATTTATTTACTTTTAATAGGAGTGGGCGAGGTTATCATCCGAATTCATATAATTTCACACTGTCAAAGGAAGAGTCAAAAATATTTATTCCGTGCAAATATGGGTTATATAGCTTGAATGTTAGGAGATATATACATTTTTTCAACCATAGATGCTCCTCCCCAATGCAATTCCTTGTATCAAGTGACAGGTTTATATCTTAATTTCGTGTTATTTTTTTAGGTTTTCGATTAATGGAGGTTTGTGGGCGTGACAGTGGTAATATTATGCCCATCTACAAAACTAAAATTCTTACGGTACCAAGGAACATGTGTACCAAATTTCATCAATATATCTTAATTTTTACTCAAGTTACAGTTTGGAAGGACAGAGAGACAATCACCCGGAGTTTAACTCGCTTCGTCATTCTGATCATTTATATGGTATATATATAACCAATCTCGATTAGTTTAAGGTGTTATAAACAACCGTTCGGTGAGCAAAACTATTATACTCTGTAGCAACATGTTGGAAAAATATAAACATATAATAAAATATGTTTTATGTTTTACTTGCCTATAGAATAAGTAAGTGCCAGCGAACAACATGAGTATCAAGAACAATACTTGTATTAACCATCATATAAGTAAGTCAAGGCAGTATTTGAAATGAAAACTAAAATATAACTGCATGACGTGATTGACGTAAGTAAAAATGTTAGTAAATTTGAGGTATACCTGATATATTCTGGGAAATTATTGCACATGGTCTCTTGTCATGCCCGAAAAATGCCGGTATTCGAAAATAATCATTAGGAATGTGAATCTATGGTTAAAAAATATTGCCATTTCAGAACAACAGATATTCTTACCTAATTATAAATATTTCCAACATAGTCGCACCATTCCTTCTAACACATTCAACAGCTAATTAAAGTATAAAAAAAATATGAAACTCGTCCACGCAACCAACCTAAGAATGAAAAGGTAATTTTAAGGCTATCACGTCAAACTTAGTCAAACTAAACTATCGATAGTGAGCCGAAAATAAAACTACCGATACTTTGATAGTCCTATCGCTTGTTTTGCAACTCTATTCTCAAGTATACCTGAAGAATGTCAAAAACTTATGCAATCAACCCTTCCATTTCTCTACCCTCAATATACTTTGTATAAAGATTTATGGCTTTAAACCATTTAGGTTCGTCAAATATTCTAATAAAATTAAGTGCACACGTTTTCTTAAAAGTTATAAAACAATATTAATGGTTTGGCGCTCAATATAAATGAAATTGGTCTTGGTCTACCATAAACCTCATATCCCTAGATGTTGGTGGATGGGCGTAATCGGACCACTGCCACGCCTACAAAACGACATTAATCGAAAACTTATAATTGCCATAACCAAGCCGCAAATTAAGATACCGAACTCAAATATAAATAATGGGCGTGGCCCCGCCCCTAATTAGATGAATGTATATATCACCCAAATTGGTACAGGATAAATTTTTTCAACCCTTAATACTACAGTGTGAAAATACCATAGATGAAATCAGTTGATAACCCCGCCAATTGTCTATATAACGTTTTGGTTAAAAACTACTAAAATTGTCATAAATCAATAACTAAATGAAACCCTGGGAGCATTTTATTAGTTTATGGCTTGTTAATAGACAAAACTAACTGAAGAGAGCACAAGTTGAAAGTTTTAAATGCTGAGAGAGCTGCTAGTTTCGGCTAGTGAAATTTCTACTAGAAGAAATATATACTGCCATATGAAGAAACACTGTTCAAGCTCATCGGTATACGAGCAATATTTGATGCATTTACTTTGATTTTGTTTAATTTGATTGTATTGAATTGTGAAAATATAAATTGATTGATTTTTAAGTGTTGATATGAAGTATGATTGATTTTTAAGTGTTGATATTTTCTTAGTTGTTTCTGCTGTTTTTCCGTTTCTTTACGTTTTCGTTATATGTGAGAGTAACTGTAAATTTTATTCTTCCTGATATCTTGCAGCTACTAGCAGTGGAGATAAATTTTTTCGCAAAGTTTAATATAAAGTTTTGCCAGCACCTGAAAGCATTTGATTCCTGCAAGTTGCAAGAGTATAAAATGTTCGGTTACACCCGAACTTAGCCCTTCCTTACTTGTTATAATCTGTTTATATTAAAAAACCTGGCTAGAAACACTAGCAAAACGTTTTCCATCGGATGCAAACCGTTGGTCGGTTACGTATTCATATTTAGTTACGCAAATAGTTTCTATAAGAAATGCAACTGTTAAAGGGACATATTTATAACAGCTTTGATACAGCCGAAGTTGACGTTTCTTGCTTCCTTTTTATTCATTTCTCCGCCCAGTCTGCACACGTTTGAGTTCACTGTTTACGTAGAAAATATACTTATTCAGTCTCTGAGATATCTTATTGATATTAAGTGGGCATACTTCCCTAGTAAGAAAGTGGACTGGTACTAAATATATATAAAATTGGCCAGGAATTACTGAAAGACGTACTATAACCCATAGAAATTGGTCACAGCACTATATAAAAACGTTAAAATAAAACAAGGATTAACTATAGCTAGAGTTCCGCTCTGAAAAAGTAACCTAAACGTCGTAGAAGTGTTAACATACAAGAATATGTATTTACGTTAAATCGGAAATATGTAACGAATGACATCAGAAATATTAAAATATATCAAATGGTACAACATTTAAAATATTGGGCAATGAACGCCAACTATATAAGTATGTACTTTAAGACGTAATTTCATACATATCTCTGCAAGCATCTAAAAATTTTAAATCGGACTTATATACCATAAGTAATATTTTGCAGGGATACAATTGTCATTGTTCACTTGATCATGTTAGCAGATTACTAAAGTGTATGTTATTTATATTTTTTTCAGAAATTTTAAATATTAAAAATAAGGAATTAGTAATATATTCAAAAACGAAAGTGGAACTCAGCAAGTCATATTGTCTTAATGAAGCTTAATCAAGTACTCTGGTGAAGCCCAATCAAGTTCATCGCCGGAAGCTGTCCCCATAAGAACACTAAGTAAAATATGAAAAAGATGGAATATACTTGTACAATAAAAACTCGAAATCGCAACTATTAATAAGACAAAATTTGAACTTTGCCTGCACCGAAGCTATAATAATCTTGATAGGTGCATTTCTTATAGCAACTATATGAATAACTAAATCCAGCCAGCGGTTTGCATCCAACGGAAAACGTTTTGCTAGTTCTTTCTAGCCACGTCGTTTCATAAGATGAATAAAAATTACTTTAATTGTTTGAGAGGCATGAATAAAAAAGTTATCTGTTATTATCGATCACTAAAACTTTGCTTTAATCCAGGGGGGTTACTCTGTAAGGCGATTCGAATAGAAATTTGTTGCGAAAATGAATTGCGTTGCGAAGGGCAATCGGTTCTATGTAACACATTCTCCTTCTAAAAAGTGTCGCACAGTTTTTGCGTTATCAAATTTCCAATATAATTCGCATTACTGTCCGAAACGAAGGAAGGAATGAAAAAAAATCAACAATAACGACGTGAAAAAACAAACAGAGCAGCATTCCATTTTTGACAAAATCGTTTTAAGTTCAATCCTTCCATCTTAGTGTGCTCTTTCCATCGAAATTTAGCATCGACCATAATGCCAAGATATTTGGCTGTATTGGCATATGGTATGCAGACATAAAAAATACTTGTAGGGTGATAAGTAATTCTTTTGTTTATGAAATTCACATGAACCGACTTGCCACCGTTGAGTTTTATTCTCTATTGCATCGCTGCTTTATCTGCTGTGGTTTCGACACATAGTATTTCAGTGTCAACAGCAAGAGTGGCAGTCATACTGTTCGGTGCTAACGGTAAATCTCTAGTATACAAAATATACCGAAGTGGTCCTAAAATACTTCCCTTCGGTACACCTGTTATAATCACTTTTAGTTTGGAGTATTTATATTATTATTGTTTTACACGGAAAAGTCTCGATGTGATATACGATTCTAGCAGAACACAATACTCAACCGAAAAACATAATTTTAATTTATGCATAAGGCCTTCGTGCCACACCTTATCAAATGCCTGCGCAACGTCAAGGAATACCGCTGAGCACATTTGTTCCTCTTTCAGTTTTTTTCTATTTTAGATGTTATTCTATGAGTTTGTTTCATTGTGGAATGCTTGTTTTTGAAACCGAACTGATCGATGGGATTAACTGCTTTTAAACAATGGTAGATTTTAATATTTGGAGGATTACATTTTAAAAAAGTTTTCAGATTTGTGGAAGTAGTCAAATTGGTCTATATGAATATGAAGATACTATGTGTGGATCCTGTACAGATTTAGGTACCATGACCACTGCTCCAACTTTTTAGAGACTTAGAAAATGCGTCAGACGGATTGATGAATTGAAGATATAGGTGAGCTTTAATAAACTTTTATGTGTTAACTGCTTTAATACTTCAGCTGTAATTAATGCGGCTGCTTTCTTAGCTCTAAGCTTTTTAATTTTGAGCTCACAAATAGAGATAGCTGGGATATTTGCATAATTTGGTTGAACATTACTGAGGAACTACTGTCATTTGGACAAAACGTTTCAGCTGGGTGTATTGCGAATGCATTTGCTTTATCACAATCACTTTTAGCTCATGTATTACTGTTAATTTTTAATGGTGTAACGTGGCATGTTGGACGTTTAAGATATTTGGTACTTTTCCAGAGCTAGTAATCATCTGTTTGTCAGCTGATAGCTGATATAAGGATTTGTGTATTGACTCATTCTTAATATAAGTAATTTTTCGTTCTGTTTCGGCTGTTACTCTATTAAGGTTCGTTCCGTCGTAACATTAATTTCCGGGTTAGGAGATTTTATTTCGTTAGGGTAATTTGAACCTATCATTTTCCGCTTCATTTCCGGAGTATTGTCCCAAGCAGCTTGTTGAATTTCTTGTGTAAACCTGTCAATTTAAAGCTCTAGTTGTTCGATTGTTGCGATTTGTGAACAGTTTATTGTAGCCTGAAGTATTTGATTAAGTTTGAAAGATAGAATGTAATGCGAGTTTTTAAACTTGTTAGTGTTTTTACTCAAAAATAGTTTCGTGCAAAACTTCTGCTTAAGCGAGGACACATTCAAATATGTGTTGGATAGCATAAACAGTGAACTGAAGACTGCACGCAGGTCCACAGGAATACCAGAAATGGTTAAACTGGTGGCAACTTTAAAGTTTTTGGTGCAAGGAGGAGACCAACAACAAATTGAACAAGATCAGCATACAGGACTAGCCCAACAAATAGTTTCGCGTTGTGTGTTGGAAGTGTGCAAAGCAATTGAGTAAGTCCTATGTCCAAAACATATAACATTTGCTATGTCAATTAAACCATAGTATAAATGCTAAGGTGGTAAGAAAATATTTTTTAAATGTATCTCTACTTTTTATAAATATTGCTTTACATATATAGATATGTGATCATAAGATGATTATAAGAGCCGTTAGCGGTCGATTTGCAGTAGCTTGCCATTACTCACATGTGTGGAATTTGTCAAGCGAGCGTCAACATTTAAAAGCCAACTATGAGAATGGGGAAATAGGAATTCGTATTCTTGGTGAGGATATACTTACATTCGTTGTTTTAATTTTACTCGTTAGCTGTGATATGCCCTAATTATTTTGCTTACTTTTTTTTCTTATAGGTCATTTTGGATATCTGCTTGAAGCTCGGCATTTAACTCTATATAAAATTGCTCCTGACAACTTCGCTGAAAGTTATTAGAACACAAAATTTTTGAAAGCTAGATCCATTAGCCAACGTGTACCATCTTTGGAATATTAAAAGCGCGGTTTCGATGCCTATTAGCTGCTAGAGTTGCTTACGCAACGCTTTATAGAGTAACCCCCAAGTACTCATAATAAAAATTTTCATAAATACTATCCTAATCAAAATAGAAGTTTTTCAGCAAATGCATAATAAATTTCCGTTGCAAAATAATAGCCCAAATTTCAGAAGAAGTAAAATGGAGCCAATCAATATAGATTACGTTGACAAAAACGATAGAAACTAAGTTTCAAATTTTGATGTTATAACCTCAAAGGAACATTACCAATAATAGACCTACATATAGAAAATTGTACTATTTTATGTTTAGATACTAGCTCATCTACATAATAATACTTGAAGTTCCATTAAAACTTAAATCTTTAAATAGTGAAACTAAAATTAATTTTGAGATTATTACCAATTTACCAAAAGAATTCAAAAAAGATGCAACAATGCCATGAAAGTTGTCCAACTTTGAGATGCAACTCTCGGACAAAAAATTTTCAAATCATTTAAAGGAATTATTAATATATACAAAGAAATTAGTACTGTACCATAAATAACAGCGAAATTTAAGTGAACGATTATTCATATAAAGAATTTTACCAATTAAATACAATCAATATAAATCAAAAAGTTTTGCAAAATTTATATAATAACTTAAATACTGAAGAAAAGAGCGCTTTAAAAAAAAACTTAATAATTATCACGATTTAACTTACACTGAAGGTCAACAGTTAACTAGCACTATTATTACAAAACACGAAATTAGAACAACTACCGACAGACCAATTTGCACTTAAACTTATAGATATTCTCAAATACACTAAAAAGGAATAAGTGCAAAAATAACAGATATGCTGAAACACGGCATTATAAAAGAAAGTAACTCTCTTTATAATAGACCTTGTGGATAGTACCCAAGAAGACAGACATTCTCGACGATAGATTTAGCAAAAGCATTTCACCAAATCCTTGTTAAAGAGAAAGATCGGTTGAAAGGTACTTTTTCTACGGCCTACGGGAGCTAAACAAATTATGGAAAATTTATCTGAGATTTCGCAAATGTAACGTACCCGATGATGAAGTTTTTAAAGAAATTAAAATTTTATTGATTCATTCAGACATTCCAGTACCTAAGAGTTCGGATTTTAGCAAATGTTCTGAGTTGGCAACTGGTGCCAACTCTTTCTCAGCAGGACAAACATCCAGTGAGCTTTGCCAGCCGAACTTTGAACTACCATGAACGTAACTATTCGGCTACAGTATGCCTAAAATGGTTGTATACAAAAACGGAAGGAAAAGATTCTATTCCAAAGCTTTACCGATGGTTAGTAAAGCTAAACAACTACAATTAGATTGATTACATTAATGTAGGTAATAGCAACACAACAGATTTTTTGAGCATAATCAATTCGGATACTCATGAAATAAACTGAGGTAATGACGACAATTTCAGCTGTTTAAATAATAACGTAATCGACGATACAATCACAATCTATCCTCAAGCTGATGATTTAAGTAATTACATGGCATACTAGACACAATAGTGAATATATTTTCTGTTAAAATTTTATTAACAAACAGTTAAAACAGGAAATTTGAAATTGAAAATAATAAACATATATGAACATTTCAGGTATAAAAATAGGAATTCATACAAATCTCACAAAAAATTGTAGATATATACAAAAATAAGCCAAATTAAAATTTTTTCAGATGCTCAGACAATGCAAAAGATATGTCTTCAGTAGACGAAACATTTAGACAAATCCACATGTACCATAAGAGTGAAACAGGTCACACTGGTACGTAAGGTTGAAAAGATGTACATATATATTATTCGAATTGAAGAACTTTGATACAAAAGTATTTTAATAATTGTGATACTTGCAATAGAATAAAATACGATCGCAAACCAGCGAAACCTAAGTTTGCATTGCCCGAAACCCCAAACAATAAGAATCAGATTATACATATGAATATTTATACGATTTCCAAATCTAATTTATTAACATTTATAAATTGGTTCTCTTAATTTACTACTGCCTACTACCTCGAGGACAGAAATAACCATAAATTGATAACAGACAACGAATATAAAAGAGTAAACATAAGGAATTACCTCAGAACAGGAAACAAAACCATATTATCATAGGGGAAGCGCCGATATTGAGAGATTACATAATACACTTACTAAAAAATTAGAATGTAAAACATAGAAAATAACTTGATAAGCATTAAAGACAAAGCACAATGCCTGTTTTGGCTGATCTAGCTTAAGAAAAGGAATTTCACAAGAAATAACGATAATTTCAGAAAGTTGGGAATGAGCAAACACATTTTTTTTAATTTTTAATTTGTTTGTGTTTTTAAATAAATTATCTAAAAAAAATTAACCAAATTTCAATTGTCCGAGTCTGAATCTGAATGTTCTTGTTCTACATTGTAGTCCAAAAGTAGATTTTGGCCTTTAATGTCAAAATAAACAGCTTTGCTCGAGTTATTTGCCGGACTTTTTACCGATCATCGTAAGCTCCAACTTGTAGTCAACTCGAAAGCTGCTCAATCTCGTAGGTACAATTTGAAATATCTGCGCCTGTATATTCTCTATCTTGGCTCCTACCAAATCAGTAGACTATTTTGTAAGCTACATTTTAAGGGGCCTATAATAACGAGTCGATGATGGGCGAGGATTTTGCCAAATAATCCCATTACCCATTTTCACTTGTAAAGGCACAATACAAATAAAAACCACATGTTCATCTGCTATTTTAAGTTGTTGATCTATGAAACTTTAGCGATATACTGCGTGTCCAGAACTTCCTTTGCAACCCCATTTAGACAAGAGCGTCAAATCTATGTATGTGCATATCTTGCAATGGAACTTCTGCACAACATTCGTCCATTCTTTGAGCAAAACATCATACAAGTATGTTGGGAAGATATTAGCATTTCGCGTCTTGGCACCAGCTTGCAAAAATTTATATGACTTTATGGAGTAGTCGCCATCAATGGACAAGCTAAAGCCTCCTCTGGAGTATATTTTATTGGCATCTGTTCAGGAACATCCAGACTTCAATTTATTTTTTTTAACGCTTCGTGATCTGGCTACCATTAAAACAACATTGAATGCACTGCGTTTTCCAGATTTGTAAAGGTTTACACTTGTTCTGTCCAAGAGTTGGCTTCTACTAGATGCTAAGCTTTTGCATCCAATTTATTGTCTTCACTTAGAAGAACCAAATGTTCAGTTAACCAAACCGCATTCTTGCACTCAAATCGCTTCTTATCCCGTTACATTGTCTCCATCTTTCATAAAGACTTTTACAAACTTTTTTGACTTTACCAACAATGGAATTCAACTCCTCCTCAGAACTTTTCGATTTGTCAATAACATTCTCAAAAATGTACTGAACCAGTGCAGAATTCTTCTTCGTGGCGTCTGTTTCCCCATAAGACTGCAAAAGTGTTTGTTTCCAGACCGACATGATAGCTGAAAATATTTCACACTCTAGCAGGGGCAACGTCCGGTGTGTTTTACGTGAGTACCTGCCGTCGACGGCCTTACCTCACGGTGCTCAAAAGCAAAGCGTATCAATACAATGCGTGGATCCGAAAATGCCAGGCATTGGGTCTGCCGTTCTTTGGGTCCGGCACCCGGTTGCAGTGCAACTCCACATTGAGTGATCAAAACACTCTTCCCTCATTTGGGCATCAACCACAACCACCACTATACTACCCGAAGGGCAAGTTCGCATGAGGCTCTAGCAGGGGCACCCTAAGGCAGCTGATCTTGGACAATTTACACACTAGACGGAGCATATTTTAACACAGCTTTAAATTTTTTGCCGGCCAAGACCCTCCTCACAAAGTTTTACTCTACAGAAGCTAAAATTTGCTTACAAAAAGGGTACGACTAATTATGAGTAAAACATGTTTTTACAGGTCACAAAACCTTTATTTTCTTTTAATACATACCTTGAGTTTTACGAAAATGGGAAAATAGATTTATCGGTTTTGATATTAATTATTTTATAAAAGAATTTGGCTATCGGTAGGAAAAACCATTTTGGTCAACTTTAACAGTTGAAAATTTGTTTAATCTTATGCCAAATCGGCCGGTGTGCAAAGTAAGCAAAAATCATTGAGTAGTATTTACAGTTTTAGCCGTCCTAGACCTCAGACAGTGTAGAAAGTACCCCCCCTTTCCAAATGGTCATAATATTGACTTGTAGATTATAATATTAATTAATTTATTGCAAACTATACACACATGCGAAGAGCAATATCAACGTATGGGTAAATAGTATGAAGACATTCAATTCGAAACCATTTCAACAAACTAATAGGATTGTTTCGATCTGCATTTTTTACACTGCAGTGAGCACGAAAATGCAGACATTTTTCTGAAAAATTGTCTTCTAAATCAGTAGAATAAACCATTTGCAATCTTTTGGCATTTTCTTCGACTTCAGACGCGCTTACTTTCATCAAGTTAGTAATAAAATTAAATTTATTGTAAAGTAACTTGTAAGCATCCCGTAGTTTTGAGTCTCAATTATTACCAAAAAGATGGTGATTCTGAAATTTTCGCGACCGTTTTTTTGGTGCATCTCTTCACCTGTGTTATTCTCGCTAGGTAGTAGCTTACGCTTTCGAATGCGTCGATAATCTCATTCATATTTCTGTACAAATGACAATTATTTGGCTTTCTTTTCGAAGTCATCGAAGTTATCTCGTGTTTCGCCAATAAAATGTATTAGTACCTCATACAGTTCTGTAACAATGGTAATGTCAAATTCCACACTCTGAAGTTTTTTACTTGTGGCGTTATTACGATCCCCAAATACAGTAATGATGGCCGTTTAAAAACGTTCCAATTACCTCTTCTTTCGCATATAATGACTCTCTTCTGTTGTGCGTCTACACGACCTAGTGTAGACCTAACAAGTTGTTGATAGACTTGTGACGGTGAAATGGGCTTGAAGTAGTTCCCAACGCTGAGTAGACGCTGCAAAGAAATTATACAACTCTTGGAGTAGGAAAAAGAACGAACAAGCTTTTTGGCTGCTTTCAGCTGGACATTCCCCTACTAAATTAAGCGAGTGTGCAGAACAGGAAACAAATTCGACTAGGGGAGATAATTCCTTTATTTTAGCTTGTAGACCGTTATATATGCCTGGATTGCCCTCGGCAGTTTGAATTTGTCATTTGTTGATGTTTATGGCTTGTGATTGGAATGAACTTAAAGAAACGTTCTACAGGTGAGCCATTTGGTAGGGCATATCTGATTACATAAGTGAGCTGGTCTACGTGAGATATATCCGGCGTCAAGTCGATGATCAGAGAAAAATATTTCGCTGCTAATATTTCTATTACAAGTGTTTTCAAAACCTTGTTTATCATAAGCCGAATAATACTTCGCATGTTGTTGAAGACAGATAACTCGTATGTCCTAAACCGGAATTCCCATAACGTGTAATCTGTTTGGCTAAGAACGGATCGATCTTATCGATAAGTTCTAAAGACATCAAATAATTTCCATTGTGAAATGAACCAAATTTCTTGTCGTGTCCTTAGAAAGGCAAACCACGTGATTCAAGCGCTTTTACACATGCAACTACTCTTTTCAGAATGTTTCTCCAGTAATTTATTTTGTCATTTAATTGCATTGTTAATGCGCGGTCTATGCGCCTTAACGTGTTGCTTCGTTCGCTCATATGCAGGACAGATAATTTGTGAGCAGGCGAATTCTTATAAGTAGATACTCGATAACAGGCATTTTTCCAATCATTAAAACCTTCCTTTTTATCAGACTGACTTTTCCCGCGAATCAATACCAAGAAGTTTAAAAGAAGTAGTCCGAAGAAAAAGAAGAGCTACGCGATATTAAAAAGTGAATTTTTGTTTTTTAACTTGGATTTTACATGAATTGTCGAATATTTTTATACTCTCGCAACATGTTGGTACAGAGTAATAGTTAGGTTCACCTAACGGTTGTTTGTAGATATAGGGTTATGTATATATTAATGATCAGGATGAAGAGACGAGTTGAAATCCGGGTGACTGTCTGTCCGTCCGTCCGTCTGTGCAAGCTGTAACTTGAGTAAAAATAGAGATATCTCTATGAAACTTGGTACACATATTTCTTGATACAGTAAGATGGTTGGTATTGCAGATGAGCGTAATCGGACCACTGCCACGCCCACAAAACGCCATTAATCAAAAATAAATAAATTTTCATAACTAAGCTCCACAATAAGATACAATTCTGGTATTTGACACACAGGATTGCATTAGAGACGGGCATCTGCGGTTTAAATTTTTTTAAAAAGTGGGCGTGGTTCCGCAACTAATAGGTTTAATCTGCATATCTCCTAAACTGCTAAAGCTATAATAACAAAATTCACTGAGAACAAATATTTTTAGCACCTCTATCTACGGTATGAAAATGGGTGAAATCGGGTGACAACCCCGCCCACTCCCCATATAACGGTACTGTTAAAAACTACTAAAAGCGCGATAAATCAAGCACTAAACACGGCAGAGTCATTAAATTTTAATACAGGGATCGTAATAGCTGAATTTTTAGGAGCCGCGTTCAAAATTACGTCCACATTTAGGTGAAAACCCATACCTTAGGATCTGCTAAACCGATTTCAACCAAATTTGGTACATAATATTATTCTCATATTTCTATGCGATAATCAGCGAAATCAGATTACAACCCGATATAACACCATTTTAAATTCCATCTTATATTTTCACTTTCGACTATGAAAATGAAACAACAATGATTATATTGGAGTAAAACTTTGCCTGAATAATGCGTTTGAAGTATGCCACTTTGTGACCAAAAATTTTCTAAATCGAACCAAAACTATTCAAGTCCCTAGGTATTGAATTTGCTGACCCCAGTGCCTACAGTTGCCTTTTTACCGAAAATATCGGTCAATGTCTAATACATTTAATCGAAATTAATAGAATAAAATAAATAAATAAAACTCTCGATAATAGTATGTTTGGGTCCAAAAATGGGTTCAAGCGAATCAATACTTCCTATTGCCCTCATATACCTAATATAAAAATTTTTGAACTTCAGGGTGACTTTATACCGCATATATCGGCCAATATGTGAGTTATCTCAATGAAAATGAGAGAGTGTGTTTTACTCATAACAAGGTTTTTTTGTGCCTGAAATGGATGAAATCGAGTGAAAATTTTACCTGGCCCCCATTTAACTAATATCAGGATTTTCGAACATTCGTCTGACTTTACTCCATATGATTGGTGATGGTATGTGAGGTACCTTAATGAAACAGTGGGAGCA